TTTTACATTTGAGAATCTTTTTAGATTTATTTATCTATAGTGTTGGAATTGTCTTTAACATTCTTTAAAATCATTCCTGAAATCTATTTTTCTAATCATTTAAAAATCAAATATTAAAATCATATCAACATTGAAACAAAAGATTTACCTACAAAAAAGTTATAAAAAGCTCTATAAGAAATATAATATTTCTTTAATATAATTCTAATAATCTGTGCATTATATTTAAATCAATTTCAAAATCTATCTATGAAAAAATTTATTAACAAATTCACCCAATGTATGAACAAATTCATAAACAACAATATCAGCATGGCAATTATTCTAATTTTCCAATTACTTCTAGTATTAAAATCAAGCATTGAAAACAAGTGAAATAGCTTAATATAAGTTTCTAAAAACAAAAAAATATTGTATTGCACAATAACGTAGCTCTATTTATCAGATAATAACAGATTAATAAAGAGAGTGATGAAATAAAATAAATGATAAATAAATACATACCTTGTCCTTGATTCTCGACGAAGTGAACCTGACTAAGACTCCTCGAAAACTCTCCTTGTTTGACCTTTTGGGAGAAATCGTTATTGCCGAGCCTCTTGGAGAATTTGACACGACAATTACTCCGAGGTTTCCCAGATCTTAACAACGACGACGGTCTCGGTCTCTTCGCAAACGTATACGGAATAGTATAAGGTTGCGCTACGTAAAAGTAAATCGGCCGGTAGTCTTCATGAAGATGAGGCTGCACGAAGCCACCGTTCGCCGGATAGTGGCTGCTGTACACGCTCGGTGCTCCGTTGCTATACGCGTACGAGCCCGTGTAGTGGATATCGTAGTGGTTCGCCGTGTTTCGTGACTTCCTTTTCGCCGTTTTGAAGAAAAAAAGAAAAAGAAATAATCTTGTCCTTTTCGTTGGACAAAATTGTTTATTAAAACTGCTCGACGAGCATCATTGAGATTGTTTGATTGAACATCGTTGCGAAGTATTACCTACTACTTGTTACTACTTCTTTTACCATTTGTCTATCACTGATAACTGTTATTAAATATTTCCTTTCCTTTTTATTACAGTTATGCGAGTAAATTGTTATCAGAGTAGTTGATTTTTGCTGTAAGATCTCTTATAAGATTGAAGTGGGATCCGGTTTCCTTTTTTTTCTTTTTCTTTTTTTTTTTTTTTATGATTTCTCTTCCACTGTTATGAAGCTTCTTCCTTTTTATGAACCGCGTAACAAGTGTCTGAATGATTGATCGGTTTCTCGGTCTCTTCAAACGTCTTTCAAGATCGAGATTGCTTTACTCTCGAGGAAAGAGGTATTCGATAGCCTATCAATTATAAATTTCAGGTAGATTCGCTTCTCGAACTGGAAGCTTAGACTGGTTATTCTTTCAGAGGTTCTCAAGAGGGAGAGGAGGGCAAGAAAGAGAGAGCGAGAGAAACCCTTCTGGCGTGGTTTGAACGGGAATTCCTTTCCGGCGATTCTTTATCAAGGGATGTGATTCAAGCCAGCAATTGAATTTTTCACCGGAACCGTCCGTTCCAACCGTACAGGAGAGATCGTTTTTCCGCAAAACTCCACTGTGGGTATTTTAAATGAGAAAATTGCCTTCACGCTTTTCTTTTTCTTCTCCTTTAACTGTCGATTAAGTGTGTACGCACGTGCACATGTCTGAAAGTTTTCAATCCCTTTGATCGTCACACTCCCTGTTAACTGAGAACGTTTGTGATTTGCATATAAGAGTTGAAGAGTTCTGTCGTTGTTTCCCACATGTGTTTCCTTCCTGCGCTGTTTTGAATGATAAAGGGAAATCCTCTTCTGAAGTTAGAGTTCCCTTGCTGTTTCTTTTTCCTTCATGAATATTCTTCTCCTCCTTCTCCTGCTTTTCACGTCATATCAAACGTAATATACCTCTTTCTTTTTTTATTTTCCTTTCTTCTCTTTATTTTTTATCCTTTTTGTACCCTTTCACGACCACTTAGTCACATAAGCCGTTCTTTACGAGGGCGAGGTTAAAATCCCAAGGTGCTATTAAGATTCCCTTTTCGAATTAAAATTTGATCATCCTTGTTACGACAATGTGGAGCTTCCGGTGCATAGTAATCGCATTAATTGGACCAAGTTCGTTCCAGTGGAATCCAGTGAAAAGTTTAACGAATACCTCCCTCTCTCTTCCCGTTAATACATTCTCCTTGCATCTGAAATATATGTCGCAAGTGAGTGATAAGTATGAATCTCTCTTATACTGTGTTGAATTTACTATTCTCGAATTTTAAAAAGAAAAAAGAGAGAGAAAAAAAATACAAAGGTCGGTCACCGCTCGAGGATGATCTCGTTTCTTCGATTTCGCAATAAACTACAGAATCTGTGACGAACGATCAGCCACATATACCAATATGGAACCGTGTCAAGCTACGTATAGTGCACCTCTTGACCGCTTTTCTTCCCCTTCTTCTTCTTTTCCTTTCTTCTTTCCTTTTATCGCAACTTATTGTGTCGGATGTCGCGCGATTTTGTATCAAAATCGCGTTTCGGGATTCTGCTCGAGTCAAAGTCCAAATCTCTCGATGTGCAACGTGATCTTTCCTTCCTCTCGCCTTTCTTTCACGTTGTGTCAACTGTAAACAATGCCGTCCACGTAAATCGTGCGCTTAAGAAGATGAGATGTGTTAGGATGAAAGAATTGATGATCCTGATGCAAGAAAAGAGAAGGTAGAAATTTAAATGAAGTTATAAAATTATTACATTAATATCAAAGAAAATTGGAAAAACGATAATTTAATAAATAATAATTAGTAGTCCTCGAGTTGATGATTTTTATTTAAATTTTTCAAGAATTTCTCAAATTTATGACTGCTCTTTCTAACAAAATATCAAGAAAGTGGTTATTCTTCGTTGATAATAAATGAATATCAAAAACATCGGTCTCTGTTAAATGCAAGATTAAATTGTCTTTTATCAACATTAATCAACACATGATACATAATACGATATATTTAGAATGAATTTTTCTTCGTATGTTGAAAATGAATCTGCATTCTTTTGTTATGAACCATCGAATAAATATGTATTTCGAAAATAAGTAATCAAACTTCCATATCATATTCTATTCTATTTCATTCTATTATGAAGTAATAATTTATATGTTATTATCTCACAATCATTGTATTCCAAAGATTCATTGAAAAATCCATCGCATATAAGTTCGAGTTAATAGACCAGATTTAAATCCTTTAGAAGTATTTGGAAAAAATTTATATATCTTGAGAAAAAAGAGTTTTGTTTATATAGAACTGTTTTCCATCGTAGCTAGAGTAGAATTAGACATGCATGTATATAAATATTTTATCTCAATATTTTTTCAACGAATGGGTCGTAATCTAATATTGGACAACAATTAAAATTTTGATGAATCTTGAAATGAAAGCTGTCCAAGCTCCTCGAAACACGTCCAAATATGAAAAGTTTATTTTTATATAAAATATGCAATGATTCCAAATTCTATTAGTTTTTTTTAAAATTTTATGTTATAAACATTTGTATATTTCATATTATATTTACAAACATAGTATTACAAAATTGAAATAAATAGAAACGCTATTCTGTATAATATCAATTTGATTACCTATTTTTGAAATATTCTATCATCTAGTATCAAACATTTAATCAAGATTTTAATTTAATTGATTGATTAATTCTAAGAAGTAAAAGAAATTAATCATTAATTGTTGATTAAAAATATAAATTGTTCTATCTAATGCATATAATTCTCTATCTAATGCATATAAATGTTAAATAAATAATTTAATCCAATTGATGATTAACCTCCTGTTTTATATTATTGATATTTCATTTTGATTGTGCATCACTTTAATTGTTAATTATTATTGCTGTTTAAATATTTTATATTGTAATCATTAATCTTTAATTGCATTAAATATTGTCCAATATCGATTTCTGGAATTACAAAGAAAAGAAAAAAATTTTTTTAATAAAAATTCTTTGATATGTTTCACATTTTTCTGTTTATCAATGATAATTCTTAATTCAAATATCTAAAAAATCCATCATGAAATCAAAAGTATAGAATTATTAAAACAAATGGAACTCATTCCAAAAGTTTCTTGTAATTTCTATGTTATATTTCTAATTCTATTTATATTTCAAATAAAAATATAAAAATAATTATGTTTCATTTCAAATCTTCAATAAAATTAAGCTAAAATTTTGAATTTAAATTTTTAACTCATATTATTTATAATTAAAAATTCGAAATTAATATTTTTATTATATTCCATTTTTAAACCTAAAATAAAAAATAATTAACCAATTGGTAATCAATTGTTTTGCATAAACTTTTCATTGTTGAATAAGATAAGTAACAAATAAAAATCTCAATATAACTATTATACTATCTATATAATTTAAATATTTGATGCATTTTTTCTTAAACATTGAATGCATTATTCCTATCCTATAAATCTCTGTATGTATTGCTAATTTATCTAACTTTCATGATCTATTTTACTATCCCTTCCTCTCTCTAAAACTCATGTCATTTTTAAAAATATCTATCATTATCAAGAATTGATTTCTCTACTTAATTAATCAAAATTATGAATTCTCCAAATCATTAATTTCACTATCCATTACAATATCCGAATAATATTATAATGAACCTTTAGTTATTGAATAATTCAAGTATCTTGCCAACAGCAAATCCATAACTAAATACGATTTCACCTAACAAACGCATGATCCATTCCCAATGTCCAAACGTGTTGATTCATCATCCTGCTTTTTTCTTCATTCCTTCTATCCCAGTTATTTTTCAATGTTCTTAAAATGAGTTTACATTGGCATTCATGAACAACGCCGTCGAGTAGCATTCTTGACGTAACTGGAACAGCAATTGCACGAACGTAATATATTGCATTCACACGTCCGTGTATTGCGCAGGCGCATCACTTTTTACAAATTAAGGTTTAAGGTTATATCGTCCGTTTCTGTTCCGAACGGACAGTGGTTGGAAATATGTAAGTATAACTTGGACTAATTCGCGCCGAATAAAACGTGCATTGTGTGAAAATATCGGCAGTAGTTTGTTTAATGATAAAATAAAAAAATGAATAAATTTCTGGCTAAGCAATTTGGATAACCGATCGATGTTTTCGCAGCTGAAAAAGAGAACGAATTGGGTCGAAACTAGTGTCGATGATTGCCACGGTGATTTTCGTAATCGAAACCTTGACGCGGTATCGCTGACATTAATACCTGTTATGTTAATGAAAAACGATAACGACCCGCAGGATCTATCTTGAGACCAGTTCATACGGAGATACTGGCAAGGATAAATGAAGGCTTTAATAGATATTTTTCTTTTCATCGACAAGAAAATAGTATAATTACAGGACGATTAAAATATTCTTCTAATACGTTTTATATTATCTCTACAAAAAGTATCATATGAAATATAGTTACTAGATGTAATCTTTATATATAATTCGTTTTATAAGCATTTAAACTATAGAACTATGGTATAAATATCATTTTGCAATTTCAAATGATAAATAAACTAATAAATAATTCCTTTTGAAATTTAATTACAAGCTTACCATTGAATTGTAGATATAATTAATTGAACAATATACATTGGTATACATATATAATGTATAATGTATATTACAGTATTTGAACAAACTAAATAGAGAATAATAATTTTAAAGAGTAAAAAATAAATAAAAGTTGATATACTTGATATATTTGAAACTTATTTATTAAATTATAAATAATTTCATTTGCTTGATTAAATATTATATTTGGATTAGATAATTACATAAAACAAAATAAAAAGATACATAAAATATAGCAAAGATAAAACCATCTCATTTTTTATCTTTTTATTTAATAAAAAATTAAATATTTATAACTTGAAAAATATTTTAATAAATTAAATACTATATTTGTTTCAATTTCTAATCAACTCTTAAAAATTTTTATCTATTTTGTTCAAACACTTTATATATATATATATAATTCATCAAGAATATATAAATAGTATGGTCTTAAATTAATATATCAATCTGAAACACGAGTAGTATCGTAATGACATTTTTAACGTAGCTTATATTCGACAATCAAAACAATTTAACTTTCGCTAAGTTTATTTTACAATCTCCCAATACATATATACGAACATGAACATGATGCTTAATCATAGGAATGAGAAGATGAAATAATTAGCATTGATCTCCATTATTAAAAGAACATTCAGCGTTTTTTTCACTATCTTTAGTTTCTGTCGCGAACAGATATATGGAACATACAAAGAGAAAATAGGCAGAAGAGACGAAGGAATCACAGATATGAGAGAAAAATAGCAAACGTCGCTAGAAAAAGTGAGAGAAAAGGTCGATCAGAGAATGGCTGACAGAAAAGAACGAAAAGTAGCAAAAAGTGAGAGAACAAAGGTACCCGGATGAAAGAAGCAGAAATTGGTAAAAGTAATATAAGAGCAAGGAAAATGCAAGAATGTGTGTGACTAAATGTAGAGAAGCAGGATGATGAGGTCGACTGAATGCCGTTAGACCGTGTCGTGATGCAGCTACATACATATACTACTTATATATATATACGTGTATTATATATATATATATAATACACGTATATCTACATAGCTTCGTGTGAAATATCATCGCTCATAGAAAAGAACAAACGAAAAGCAGAAAAATAGAGAAAGAGACAGATTAACAAAGAGAGAGTCACCAACGATCCGAATTCACGAATCTGTTCGTGACAGTTTTGCATGAGATGGAACGCAAAAGTATAATTCTATTGTGGCATTGTCCACATTGTTCATGTATTGAGACATTGTTTCATTCGTTTCGGTCATTCTTTTTTGTTTTTGATTTTAGAAAAAATGAACTGAAATCAAAAAACGAATAGAGAGACGAAATGATCTGAAGAAATTATCGATATGACATTTTCATTCTATTTTCTAATTGTTTCATTTAATTATAGTAAGCTAACAATACAACATTAGAGAAAGGAATAAACAAGGGATGTTATTCTCTTACTACTTTGGCCATGTTTATAGACAAAATAATTAGAGCAAAGGAGAAAGTGCAGAGATTTTGAAAAATATGCATTTAGAACGTTTACACAAAATTTCATACGAAATTGCATGAATAATAATCATAATAAATCATTATAATTATATATTCCGTATAGATAAATTAAAAGAGGGAAAAAAGATTAATTAAGTTTCGTTGAATTTCATTCGTATATAATATAATTGCATTGTACATACAGTATTTTCTCACTAATCTATTCTTTCTAATGCAGAATTTCTCTTTTTACTGACGTACATCGACACAGAGCCGAGATAGCTATCTTCGGTATGTCTTTCTGAACGTAACGCGAACCTTACACACGATATCTTGGAATTTTTTTCCTCTCTAGTAGATTGACTCGTTGTTACAACCGGTCCGATTCGCAGATTTTTCTTCTCGCCTGACGCAACTCTTTCGACATATGTATACCGGCCATTTGCTTCAGGGCATCGGATAAAGATGCATCGTGGTCCACTATAGCCTGCGAAACTAGGACACGTAATCATCCCACCACTTCCTCGAGAACCAACCTGTGTTTCTTGTTCTGTTCGCTCGCAACTCCCGTAATACGATTTGAAAGATAATGAAGGTAGAAATATCGTATTGATTCGTGCCATTAAATATAATTTTATCATTAATTTCATATTGAAAAATGTCGTCAATTAATATTA